GAGTCATATACAAGTGTAGGAAATCTGTCCACACAGTAAATACTAAAGAATGTAGCTGAGGGCCTGGATCCTACTTCATGGGCCTGTGCCAGAAAGGTTCAAGGGTCAGTAGTGGAAACTAGAAAGTCTACGCCAGCGCTCAAGGTAAGTACCAGAGCTCCCCCAAAGGTACCACAGCTATCCTCATCGACAGTGAGGTCCTGAGCTCCTCCAGCGATGAGGAAAGCTGAGTTCCCATCAGGAAAGCCAATGTGACAAGCTTCTCTGGGAGGCTGAGCAGTGCTCCGGAGTCAGGAAGTCAGGAAGTGGTGTTCAAGATGAGCACCAGAGCACCTCTAAAGTTCATCAGGAAAGCCAGCATGACGGTCCTCCAGAACAGCCCAAGAGGGGCTGGGGAGATAGCTCAGCAGAATAAGCAGTAGGCCTGAGTTCAATCCCCAGTTCCGCAAAAAAAAAAAAAAAAAAAAAGGCAGAGCAGCCCAAGAGAACTAGCCGCTTCCAGCAGCTCCACAGCGTCTCCAGGCAGCATCCCTCACAGAGTTCCGGCAGCTCCTCTGTTCTGCCTTTCTGCTGCTGGCAGCAGTCCTCAGGTGGACCTTCCACACCCAGCACCACACCTGTTTAAATCAGCTGGGTGTGATAACCAGTTAGAAATCTACTACACCCTTCTACTTTTGTTTTTCTTTTTCTTTCTTTCTTTTTTTTCTTTTCTTTTTTCTTTTTGGTAGAGATAGATGTCTCACTGTGTTGCTCAGGCTGGCCCTGAATTTTGAGGCTTGAGGTCCTCCTGCTTTTGTCTTCTGAGGGCTCTGATGCAGGTACACACTGCCTGAAGTCTCAAATAATGCAGAAGAGGCGGTGACCTGGCACAGCGGTCTGGGCGCCGGGCCGCGGAGCGCAAGGTCAAATAATGCAGAAGCAGGCGTGGTGACATGCACCTGTAATCCCAGCACCCTAGAAGACAGAGGCAAGAGAATCACAAGCTGGAGTCCCACCTGGGCAACTTAATGAGACCCTATCTCAAAATTTAAAATTAAGGGATGGGAATCTACATAATGCGAAAGCCCTGGGTCAGTCTAAAAGAAACAAAAACGATAAAGCTGTTGTGGCGGTCTGGCCCCGTGGCTGAGCCTTCGCTGGAAACCCACTTGAGCAATACACCACCGCGAGACCTCCTCTCCAGAACAGCCAAGTCTTGGAGAGCTGGCCTGGCTTCAGCGGCCTGTGCTGTGCTTTTCTCCAGATCCCAGCAGGCTGGCTGTGGTGTTTGCTTCCTGGGATGCCTTTGTTTTTTCAGCCTGCCCTTGAACTCCCTGTGTAATCAGTCCAGGTTGGCCTTGAGCTCATGGGGTCCTGCTGTTGCCGAGCACTGTGCTGCGCTTGAGCCAGAGCCTGGAGTGAGGATAGCTCCCAGGAGGACGGTCACACAGTTGTGGTAGCTGCATGTGGGTCTTCGCGTCATTAGGAAGGAGTTGCCTCAGCCTGGGGTCTGCTCCTTGTCGGGGTTTTGGGATTCTCCTGGGCCTCTGCTTCTAAGGAGGTGCTTGTTCCCTCATGAGGGCCCCTGCCACGCTCTGTGGTACCTCAGCATCTCCCTAGCAGCACTTGCAGGCCACCCTAGAGCCCTTCTACTGGCCAAGGGAGCCCCACCCTCTGCTAGAGGGCGCTCCCTGGCTTCTCGGCCCTTCCTCACCACCCTAAATTACTTGTGATAGGAGTAAAAAGACATGAATCTGAAGATTTTTATTTATTTATTTATTTATTTATTTATTTTTTGAGGAACCAAGGATTGAAGTCAGGCCCTTTTGCTTGCCAGGCAAGTGCTTATTCTACTGAGCCATGTCCCCGGCCCCTCTGAAGATGGTTTTAAGAAGTACATGGCAAGTGCCTGGGGAAGTGCTTGCCACGCCCCAGCTTCATCTACCGTGTGACAAAAAGAAAAACGGCAAGCTGTGCATGGTAGTATACCTTATAACCCAGACGTGCAGGAGGCTGAGGCAGGAGGATTGTGAGTTCAAGGCAAGTTTGAGACTATCCAGAACTACATAGGAAAACAAAAACCCTGTCCCAAAAACCAATGAGAAAGGGAGTAGGTATTTTGTTTGTTGGTTGGTTTTAGTATGTAGTAAAGTTTATTGTTGAAGGTCACAGGACAGCAGCAGGAATAGGCAGAAGGTTGAAGCGGGAAGAAAGGGAGCTCAGTAACTCAGGCATCCAGAATTTATAGGGTCTGCGCCCCTGGGCAAGGCGCCACCCCCACCGTCTCCCAGAGGGCCTGGGTCTGCAGGGCCCAGGAGCTTCCAGAGGTTTAACCATTAGGGCGGTGTTGTGTTTATGGTGAATGGGGAGAAGGTAGTGGCTCACAACTGCCCTGTCTTAGGGTGATGGAAGCTACCTAATCAACTGGGCGCTGTGGCCTTTGTACGTCAATGATGGGAAGAGAGTCACTTGGCCACCTTTGTTTCTAACCCTACTATTCTCCCCTGACAACCTGGTCTCTGAATGTCTTTGAGAGGGGGAATTCCGTCTTCTGTAGCTGCTTTAAGCTGGGTAGGGGCATTGGCCCCACTGCCTCGGAGACCATGAAACCCTTGCCCTGACAGTCTAGAGCCCAAGGGAGCTGAGTCCTCCTCTGAAGGTTTTTGGTGGACCGTGGGCGCGGAAACAGGCTCTGCTCTCAGAGTGTGGTCACCACCAGTAGTCTGATAGCTCCTTTGCTGGCTGGTCGTCAGCTTGCCTGCTCCTGCTGAGGTCTCTGGAAGGCTCTGGGTGGCTGCTGCTCTGAAGTCTGTGAGGTCTCTGAGCCACTGTGCGGTAAAGTCCCATGACTCGTGGTTCAGAGATGTCTCCCACGGCTTAATGAAGTCCTCTTGGCTGCAGTAGACAGATACTAGTCCAGTGGGACAGATAGCCCAGGTTCTTGTGTATGACAAGGAAAGAATTGCCAAGCGTATGCCTTGTAGAGTGTAGTAAGTTTATTGAAGACTGCTGCAGCAGGAAGAGCAGAAGGGGATATGGGGAAAAGGAAGCAGGTGGTTTTAGATTGCCCCACCCTTGTCCTCAGCATGGAGCCCAGGGACTTGCTTATGCTTAGAAAAGCTCTCCACAGAGCCAAGACCCAGCTGGGTCCTGGTGTGGCCAAGGAGCCTCCACTGCGTGGCCTGAGGGAAGTCCCTTTGTCACCTGTCTGCTCCTGCACAGCAACATCCCCTCCCATGGCAGGAGTAGCTGGGCCTTCGGCCGTGTTTCACCTTACACCTTCTTACAAGAGCTGCCCTCAAGTTGGTGCCCCCTCAGTCTGAGCCTCTGATGTATCCTCAGGCCTGCAGGCCACACCAGCTTGTCCCTCCTGGCGGCCCGTGCTGGACTTAGGTCGCAAGAACCTGGATCGGCCCTCTCCATGCTACCTGAGCTTCTGGCCAAGCCAAAGAGACTTGGCAAGCCTAGTACCTCTCAGGAAGGCCGGGCAGCTTGTATGATGATGCCACGCTCTGCGATGCGTCTGCTCCCAGCATTCAGGAGGACCGCTGCCTGTAGCTGTCCTCCTTTGAACTTGGCTTAGGGAAGGGGCAGAGATACCTGTGTCCTTGGACAGCTATTGTTTGGCTTGGTGCTGCCTGCCGAGCAATCTCCAGAAAATGGGCAGAGAAGGTCGATTAGGACAGGAAAGGCCTTGGAGGCAGAGGCCACACCTCAGCACCCACCCGGGAGCGGGGGTGGCTCAGGAGGGGGCTTCATCTGCTGGTGTCCTTCAGATGCTGCTCCTCAGTGCCCAACCTCCACCGTCTTCTGAAGCCAGTGGGCCTGATGAGGGAGGGATGAGCTGTTCCGCTGAAAATGCTTTGTCCTGTGGCTCAAAGCTGATGACTTTTTAAAAGCTGTGCTTCAGTGTTTACTTTGTCTTGCAGTGGTTTGAGTCCAGCCAATGACACTGGAGCCAAAAAGAAGAAAAAGAAACAAAAAAAGAAGAAAGAAAAAGGCAGTGAGACAGATTCAAACCAGGATCAGCCTGTGAAGGTAACAAGGAGGCTTTGTTCTTTGGCTGAGTTTCCCAGCACGGTGTTTGGGAGATGAGAGGCGGCCTCTCCTGACGCAACCCCAGGGGAAGAGGAGGGCTCAGTGCTGACCCCTGCTGCCCTGCACCTCCGTGAAGAAACTGCTCTTTGTCCCTTAAAAGACAGCCGGTTGGACACCCAGTCCTGGGCGCAGTGCAGCCTGCTTGTGTATAGTGCCAGGCTCTGTGGGCACAGGCTGGCGACATCTCTTGTTCCTAGAACGGTGTTCTCGGGGCGCTCTGCTTTGGTCCTCATTGCTATATGTGGAAAAACGGTGCTCTTCTTCCTGCTCTTCTTCCTCCTTTTTCGCCTCCTTCTTTCTTGGTGTAAGGATTGAAGCCAGGACCTTAAAGTATGGTAGGCAAGTACACTACCACTAAGCTACATTCCCAGCCCTTTTTAGTGTATTTTGAAGAGGGCCAGTGAGATAGCTGAGCACATTAAGTGCATGCTTAGACAAGTGCAAGGACCTGGGTTCAATCCCTGGTACTACATGCAACACTAGCCCCGCCCCCAGGTGCTCTGAGCCAGCCACCAAGTCCGGGCGTGGTGGCACACACTTGTAATCCCAGCACTGGGGAACTGACAATGGGAGGATTGCTACAGGTCTGAGCTGGGTAGTGAGACCCTGTACCAAATACCTAAATTAAATAAATTTATTTATTTTGAGACAGGGTCTCACTAAGTTACCCAGGCTGGCCTAGAACTTGTTTTTTTTTTGAAGGCTCATTTTCTTTTTTTAATGTTTTTATATTTACTTTATTTTTTTTAAATTTTTTATTTATGTGTGTGTATGGCCAGCTCAGCCCACCAGGGGGCAGGGCTGGCTGGCATGTGGTGCTGGGGGATTGAACTGCAGTCCCTGTGCTTTGCTAAGCTTGCTCTAAGTAGGTGCTTTAGACCACTGAGCCATCTCACCAGCCCCTGGCTTGGAACTTGTGATCCTCCAGTTTCAGCCTCCTAAAGTTCTGGGACTGCAGGTGTGCACTTTATACCCAGCTGGCCCTCTTCTGATGGTAGACCCTCACACATCTGCAGTTGTTCTTTCAATTGCTGTGGTTGTCATGAAAACCAGGAGTTCCCAGGGTCCTAGAGCATACAAGCCAAGAGCAGTATGCTGGCACAAAACCCAGAGAGATCATAAGGGTGAGTTTGTTCCTTAAGAAGCAACACTACAGAAAGAGATCTTTTACTTCAGGCTAAATGTGCTCTTCAGAGTAGGCTGGGCGGAGCGCAGAGCCACCAGTCTCCTTTGGAATTCCTTTCCCCAGTGGGCTTGTGTCGTGCTTATGCCTCAGGTACTGCGTCCCACAGTGAGTCTTTACCATCCCGTGGCAGCTTGAGGTAATTTCTATTTCTGATACCAGACCCATTGGGGAAAGAAAAACGGCTCACGCTTATCGACCACCCTTGATAGGCTGAACCTCATGGAAACCAGCCTAGACTATCACTGTCTCTGCAGGGGAGCGGGAGCAGAGCGAGTTGATTGCCTGGTCTTCCAGCCAGGCGTTCTTGCCCAGTTCCTGGCTGCAGGACTTGGGTGGGAGTGGGTATTTGATGGTCCATGAGGTTTGGAACTCAGGCCTACTTTTTAAAATGTAGTTAGTACAGAGTCTACAAAGTCTCACTACACAGATTTGACTCGTAGTGATCCTCCTGTTTTCAGCCTCCCAAGTTCTGGGGTTACAGGCCTCCACCACACCACCATGCCCAGCCTCAGTCACCGTCTCAGCTTGCCCCGGGGGCGGGACCAGCATGGCACACCAGGGATTGAACCCTGGTCCCTGTACCTGCCTAAGCAGGTGCTTAGTCCACTGAGCTATCTGATCTGCCCTTTCAAGCCTAGTTTTGAAGTGAGGATTTTTAGCTTTTTTACCTTTGAGTGCTGGAGACAGAACTTGGCCTTTTGCAAGCTGAGTATACACAGTGCTATCGAGGTGTGTCCTGGTGGTGCACTACCCAGACACCATGCGCACAGCAGCTCTCTGCTACCTTCTTCATCAGCGTGGTGGTGTTCAGCATGGAGAGCACATTTTATGCAAACAGCAAGAAGAAGAAAATCACTTGAATGGATTTGTACTCCTCTGTGTGGGGATTACTGGGGATGGAGCCCAGAGCCTTGCAGTTGCTGGCCCAGCTCTCACCACAGACCTACACCCCTGGCCTGTTTCCCTGGAATAGAACTGCTCATCACTTTAGACCCATTATCATGAGGCTCAGGAGCTGTGAATGAGTAGGGAGTTCATGAAAGAAAAGATTATATGTATATATATATATTTTTTTTTTTTCCCCCCATACTGAGGTTGCTACACAGCTCAGGCTGGTAGTGATCCTCCTGGCTCAGCCTTCCCAGCACTGGGATTATAGGTGTGTGCCACTACGCCTGGCTTTAGGCTGGTACAGTGTGGCAAGGGTTCTAGGGCCAGCATGACACATGGTACCTTATGCTTATCAGGCAGGTGCTTAGACTGCCGAGCTATCTCCCCAGCCCCCAAATAACCACTTTTAATCAGCAAGCAAAAAGGTGCTAAAAGGGGTGATGAGATCGCTCAGCGGCTTAAGTGCCTGCTTTGTCAAGTGCAGGGACCAGGGTTGGATCCCTGCCCATGTGCCCCCCCCATGCACGCACACACTTGTCCAGCGAGAGTCCTTCCGGGCATTGAGCCAGCCACGTAGCTCAGCAGATCAAAGCACTTGCTTAGGCAGACGCTGTGGCTGGGGTTCGATCCCCAGCATGCATGCTGGCCCCGCCCCTAGGGTGCGCTGAGACAGGGATTGAGACTTGGGGTGGCACACACCTGTAATCTCAGCTCTTGGGAGTCTGAACACAGGCGGATCACTACGAGTTTGATCTATGTAGTGAGGCCTTGTAGACCTTTACTAAAATAAAAAAATAAATTAAAAAATCTAGGCATTGTGGTGTACACCTGTAATCCCCAGCGCTGGAGAGGCTGAAAACAAATTAGAAAAAAAAAAAAAAAAAAGGTGCTGAAACTCAATATGAAAGACAGAAAAATTGAAACTTTTTTTCCCCCTAGATTAACAGAAATTAAGGTTTGGTAAACCTAACAATGAGGGTCTGGGAAAGAGAGATTTTTCCTGTGCTTCTCATTGGATTATTTGATATTCTAGTTTTACAAAGCAAGATAATGATACATTTTATAATTTCAAATGCACATATCCTTTGACCCAGCTAGCCTCTTTCTTAAATTACCCTACATAAATTCATATCCTAGTGAGCAAAACTGGAAGTATAACAAAATTCATTGCACCATTGTTTGTAAAAGTAAATAGCTAAATCACTAAAATACCCATCAGTAGAAGGCTGGTGTACACATGGGATGTTGGTTGTTAAAAGAGGCTGTTCTGTGGAACAGTCTCTTACGATGCTGTGTGTGTGTGTGTGTGTGTGTGTGTGTGTGTGTGTGTCTTTTTGAGATAGAATTTCCCTGTGCAGTTGGAGCTGGCCTTGAACTCACTTTGTATCCCAGGTTAGCCTCAAAACTCACACAGCCCTCCTGCCTCAGTCTCCTGAGTGTGCTACTGCATCTGGTGACCCCGTGTTCTTCAAAAGGCAGTGCTGGACTGAACTCAGCCCCTCCCCGCTAAGCACATGCTCTGTTCTTGAACTGTGCCCCACCCTCTCTCACATGAAGTTTACCTTACTAAATTACTCAGGCACGGGGCAGGTGGTGGTATCCACCTGCAATTCCAGGCCCAGGCAGGACGGTCATTGAGTCCAAGGCCACCTCAAACTGCAGAGGGAATGTGTCTCCAAAAAATAAATAAATAAATTGTTCAGACTGACCTGGAACTTGGGACCCTCCTGCCTTGGTTTCTTTACTTTGTTTCTTTCTTTAATATATTTAGTTAGGGGTCTACAGGGTCTCACTACACATATTGGACTCCCTCGTGATCCTCCTGTCTTTAGCCTCCCAAGCACTGGGGTTACGGTAGGGGGCCATGCTACCACTTACCTTTTTTTTTTCCCGGAACTGGGGATTGAACTCAGGCCCTTGCACTTGCCAGGGATGTGCTTATTCTACTAAGCCATCTCCCTGGCCCCCACACCCAGTCTTTTTTTTGGGGGGGGGGGAGAACTGGGGATTGAACTCAGGCCCTTGCGCTTGTCAGGGAAGCGCTTATTCCACTGAGCCATCTCCCAGGCCCTCCCACACCCAGTTTTAATCACTGTCTCAGCTGGCCTTGGAGGTGGGGCTGGCAGAGCACTCTGGTTACCCTGGTCCCTGCGCCTGCCTAAGTGGGTGCTTTAGTCCACTGAGCTATCTGGCTGGTCCTTACCTTGGTTTCTTAAGTAACTGGGATTTCGGGCATGTACCATGGTGCCTGCTTAAGATGTGACAGTTTTTGGGCCTGGTGGGATGGCTCAGTGGTCTAAAGCACCTACTTAGAACAAGCTTAGCAAAGCACA